GGTTGAGGGTTTAGGGCTTAGGGTTTAGGGTTTAGGGCTCAGGGTTTAGGGTTTAGGGTTTAGGGCTAATAGGGTTGAGGGTTTAGGGCTTAGGGTTTAGGGTTCAGGGTTTAGGGTTTAGGGCTTGCGGGTTAGGGTTTAGGGCTTAGGATCACAAACCGTAACAGGTCGCGCTTTCGTCCAAAAGCGCAGAGCGGAGTGGTCGGCTCCTTGTAGTGCAGGGTTCGCTGGGCTGGTGAGGTTTATAGGGGCTTTAGGGTTTGTGGTTTAGGGCTTTCGGAAGTTAGGGGGCTTACGGGTACATGGTCGAAGAGTAGTTTATGGTTTAGGTGGAGCCAACTACATGGCAACTCCCCACCTTTGCTGAAGTGCAGCATCGCTTCAATCGCCTGCCTGTCTTAAACCCGAAGCCCCCAAACCTGAAGTAGTCCTAATGCCGGCTATCTCTAGAAAGGGAAGTCGAGGACATACGATGCACAGAACCTGTCGAGACCTTGATGTTTTCATGCCAGATGGCATATCACACCAGGCCTTCGAACAGACATTTCGAGCCTTAGGGCTTTCGGCCACAGGTTTAAGCTTGTTGTTAGCTTCCGAATGTTAAATTCCAGATGAGTGTGAGGTAACATGCTTTCGAACCTCAGTTTAAAGCTGAGGACAGCTTAGGGCTTGCTGGATCATTGTAGTGCATTGGGTTCTTTGGATCAAGATGGTGCTGATCTGTGGAACATACCGAGGAGCTCCCGTCAACTATTAAGTGTGGCTAAGTATAAGCAGGCCCCAACATCCCAAGGGTGGTGGCGAAAACGCAAATTGAAGCGCTGGAGTTCTTTGGTCGAGGGAGTGTCCTTTGTCAACGTGATTGTCTCCTCTTGAAACTTGAACATCAGTAAGAAGCCTTCCATAGCCTTTCAGAAACCCTTCAGTACCGGCGTTTCAGCAGCTTGTTCCAAATCATCGGAAGATGCATCTCCATCTTCTGCGCGTGGGGCGTGGACTTCCGCCCCTCTGAACCAGAAATCCAAAACCCGAAACCCTGCCCTAAAACCCCAACACCTGGGTTCTTGTCAAGGGATTTAACTCAAGTTACCATAACTATCGGGATCTATAGTAAATAATATGGTTTCCTTATTATGCCTAATTATTATGCTAACTTAAGTTAAATCCCTTGACAAGAACCCCAAAACCCAAAATACCTTAAACCTCAGCCTAAAGGTCTACCGCCCGAAGATATCGCGCCACTGGTCCAGACCCGCACTTGGCTTCTGGTGCTTCGAGACCCCCCCCCCCCAACGGTTTTGGGATGATGATTTTCGCCAAAGCAGATGTCTTTTGAACAGTTTCGTGTAATCCTAAAGCCTACACTACAACCCTCATCGAGCTCTTGAGAACTTGATGGCGTGTTTAGATTCGACAGCTTTTAGTCTGCTTGGGGGTTTAGGTACTTGCAGCTCGGGCCAACCGACTGCCATCAGGTTTCACAGTACAATGGAAGATACTTCTTCGTTGTCGTGTGTTCCAGGACTTCTTGTGAACTTCTTGTCTTGCATTTGTTCATGCCAAGATATTTGGAGTTCAACCCTAAACCCCAAACCCTAAACCTGTACCGAAGTCTCACCTGGACAGCACCGTCCCCAGAACGGTTTAGGGTTTAGCGTTTCAGACTGTTCCCTAAGGGTCCATGTGCCCATAATAGCCATAATTGGCAATAAAGCATGAGATACTTTGGCCCCAAACTACTCAAAATAGGGACTTCCTTAAGGCTGAAGTATATACTATCTAGGGTACATGGGCCCTTAGGGTTAGGGGTTCTTCGGGATTGGTTTTTGAAAATTAACATAAGGTTCAGGATTCTTCTGCGGCCTGGTGTGCACTACTTTGGCCGTGCTGTGATGCAGATTCAACACAGCAGAAGCCGCACAGTCTACTGCAAGGTCGGAAGAAGCAGTAAGAGTAATAGCCCTTTCCAGTCCTTATCTACTGCTGATGCTTTCAACCTTTCCCAAACCCTTATTCTATTTATGAAGACCCCTGTATCATGATGCTCCGCAAAGCCTTTTGACGCCAATCGGATCTCTGAGGGTGCTGGAGGCCCATGGCCAATCACTGAGCTCGGGCATCTGCAGCTACTTGCACGAGGTCAGAGGTTGATTTCGATGTTGTAGGTAGGGTTTCCGGGTGGCATTTCGGGAAACTGATTGATACTCTTTATGGCTCCTAGAGACTATAGAGGTAATGTCTTGTTGATGATGCTGGGGGCCGGATTTGCGAGTTAAGGGCTCCAGATTTAGAGGGGTTCAGGGGTGAGTGGGTCAGTGGGATTCGGGTCAAATCCAGGTTTCGATGGCTTGGGTTCAAGGTCTGCCTAGGCTTTTCGGTTTCTGAGTTTAGCCTTATCAAATTTCAGGACTGTGTCTCTCTGAAGAAAGGTGCGGCAGAGGACCTACTTTTACTTTTGGTGTCTGTCCTTGGGGTGAGTCACGTTTGAGTGAAGTCCTTAGAACCCTGAAGTATCCTGTGTCCTCGACATCCCGAATATGTTTTGGAGCTTTGAGGTTTGTCCTGCCTAACTTGCTTGTAAAGAGCTCCTTCCTAAACTGTAAGCCAATTCGATGCTTGGTGCGCTAGTCGACTTGCATTGGACACCCTCTACAAAGGAATAGCAAATAGAGAAACCATCTTACAGTACGGCCGGTTAACGGCTACAATTCTCGCCGCCAAAACGATGTCTGCCGCAGCTATCTCAACCAGGTGTCAGCTCTGTTCGCTTCAGGCCCTTCATATCCTTTCCGCCATGGCTCTCCGTTTTCTTCTCGGACTCTTGGCGTTCGGCTCTGCGGATGCCAGCCTTCGTGGCCAGATGCAGGCCAGCAATCAAGAACGGTGTCCTATCGCTACAACGATGACGACGAAGGCTGCTACTGCCCCTGCTGCTTCTACTGAATCTACCACTACCACGACCACGACCAGCACCACCACCACCTCCACCCCCGCCGCCGCCGCCGCCGCCACCGCCACCGCCACCGCCACCCCCACCCCCACCACCACCACCACCACCACCACCACGACCACGCGACGACGACTACTACACAGCCTACTCCTACACCTACCTGCGAGTCGACGACGACGACGACTACCACGACTACTACTGTTCACACGCAAGTCCACACCCGAGTGTAACAGACTAAGATGTTCAGTTCGCACTCTGACAGCGCTCAATTGAAAGGGCCGGAACTCAGAAATCTCGAACCAAAAGACGTCGAACAGACGAAGGCAAGGGAGCGTGAGTCCCAACCCGACAGACAATAACGGGGTATGGGATTAGGTTGTTGTCGACGCCTAGGGTAGCTTTCTAACAAGGCTATCTTCTGAGCACTTTTTTTTATGCCCGCACACCCTACAGCCCTAAAGTCCCAAGATACATGTTTCCAAGACTAAGCCACCAGGCCATAGCAAAATCTCATGCCTCCAGCGTGCACTTATCCCTCGGCCGGGTTTTTGACTGGACGCAAACCCTAAACCCTGAACCCTGAACCCTAAACCCTAAACCCGGAACCAGGCCGCAGCTGGTTCCGTCAGTGCAGAGAAGCTTCGCGAGACGGTGCTCTCTGAGGCCTTGGGTGCGGAGACAACGCCTCTGAAAGCCGACGACTGGTGAAGCCTGGTTAACTTGGTTTAGGGTTTGGGTTTAGGGTTTAGGGTTTAGGGTCTAGGGTTTAGGGTGTAGGGTTGTAGGGTTCAGGCTTTAGGGTTTACCTGTAACCCCAAACCCTACAGAATAGTAGGTTATGACCCTTTAATGATAGGGTATAGCCTTCAGAACAATAGGTAAATTGGAGCCACCGGTGGGGTTTAGGGTCCCCTAAACCGGCTCTAAGGCTACGGGCTGAGTGTATCCGCGGGCGAGGTTTAGGGCTTAGAGTTCTCTCTCTGAGTGTGATGTTGATCTTCATAACCTCCCCCCTTGTGTTCAGGCCCCCAGTTCGCAGCTTCAGAGGCCCTGGTTTATAAGGGTTTACTGTTTAGGGTTTAGGGGTGTCAGCACTCAAACGAAACACAGAACAATACAAAACACGGTGTATGCCTAACTTTTCATACACCGGAGACCCGAAAAGCATCAAACCTGAAACCCCGCATGCGTATATTATAAACGGACATTGCAAAGGGCGGATCATGGGACCCAAACATCTGCAGTCCGCGGCAGTGTGCTTTTTTGGTGAAAGGCCAGGGTGCATGCTTGATGCCATACTGCTGCTGACGAAAACAAGACTACTGCAAGTGTTCACATTGATGGTACCAGTGTAGTCAACCCTAAACCCTACTGTAGAAGCCCGCCCAAACGATTACCAAATTCTTCCTTAGGGTTCCTTGGTAGAAGTATACTACATTATACCCAACAGCTCTTTTCAAAATCTTGATGCGCCTGTATTCTGATGAGCTTTCTTCAAAACTTCGGGACCAGCCCTAAACCCTAAACCTGTGGGTTTGGGGTTTAGGGACCAGACTGAGACCTTGCCCTGACCCTAAGGGTACCACGGACACAATAATTTCGTACTTGGGCTTTTTTTTAATGTGGGTTAGTATTTAGGAGCGTCTGTGGTATATGAGTATTAGGTAGGCCTTAAAACTCTAAGACGAAACCCTAAATCCGAATCCTAAACCCTAAACCCTCGCCCTCAATCTCAAAACATTGAAGCGAGAAACCCTGAAGTCTTTTTGGAGGTGATGATGGCGCTCGGCAGTGGCAACCGCGTCACTGAGCAGCGCCTCCAAGTGGGTAGCCGAGTGATGGGTTTCAGGGTTTACTGCGCCGGTCGGTATTAGGGTTATGGGTTTATAGGCTAATCGAGTTTCAACAGAGTGTAGGGAACTCCAAATAAGCTTCTGAGTTTAGTTGCTGGCTTTATGGTTTCAGGGTTGGTTTATAAGTCTTAGGAGCTTGAAGGGTGCAAGATGTACCTTATTACACCTTTAGATCATATGCTAGAACAGGTGCTGCATGTGTCTTGCCTGGCCGGGTAAAGTCTGAGAACACAACCGCACGGTTTGTTTGGCTTTAGCCTGAACCCTGACGCAAACTGAAGCCGATATACCGTCATGTAACCTCAAAGTTTCCGTTGGTGTGCATCATGCTGCAGTAGCGCAGCTAACTTCAACAGTACGTTACGCTTGTTATGGCTTATGGTTAGTTTACTGGATGCAGGTTTCCGCAGGACAGACTGAGATTGGGATACACACAATATGCTTCGTAAGTCGCTGGGCTTCAAGTGTCGTATCTAGAACTCAGCACCTGATGTTTGTCCATAGGGCAGCATTCTGTCGATGCCTTTTTCAGGACTCTTGAGTTTTGAGGTCTAAGTATCAAGTAGGGAGGAACACACATGTAGTTACAACCCACTTCAGTCCTTGCCCCTTGAGGTCTAAGCCCAGTTAGCAAGTTTACATAATCCTTTCCAAGGCTTACTTCATGGTCGAAGTCGACACCATGGTATGCATCCTTCTACGTATCCTACTGTGTCCTTTGGCCGCCGCACAGTACGACACACTATGGATGTCGATTTGACACCGGCCTGCGGCATCCTTCTACGTATAGCCTACTTACTGTGGCTTTTCATAGGACGACGTACTATCGACGTCGATTTGGCACCAGCCTGTGGCAATTTCTCAGCCGGAATCATTCCTTATACGGTTCCGATGAAACCTATAGTAAAGATGCCCCAGAACCCTATTCTCATCATCAGACATTCTTGTCATGTCAAGAATGAGGTTTCGTCGGCGTAGAGCAATGCGATGTTTCCTGTCTCAGGCAGTCGTTGCTTTCTTCTTTCCCAGTTGCGCCAGGTCCCAGCTCATCCGAAATCTCAGAAAACTCTCAGCAGCAACATGGAACATGCTCCCAACGAGATAGAGTCTTTAGCAGTGGGTTCTAGGCATAGCCCTAAACCCCTAAACTCTACTCTAATCCCCTAAACTCGAAACCCTAAACCTCCTTCCCTGAGTTTCGCACTCAGCTTCCGTGCCCCAAAGCCCAAAACCTTCAACCCTAACAGGTCATCGAGGAGGCTTTGAAATCTACCTTCCAGGCCATGCCGAAGCGGCCTGCTCGAGTTAGGGGGGAGGGGGGTCCTTTAAGAGTTATATAACTTTAGGGTTGAAAAGGATATTCAATGGTCGTTGATGGTGTATGCTTTGCTGCCTCGGTCCTGTGTTATGTTGTTAAGATCTGTCGCTCTAGCACTTTCGGGAGTACGTGTAGCTTAATTCCCAGATGGTCCGACTACGGTCGTTTTGCTGAAGCTTGGATTTGTATAGAACGTTTTGTAGCGATGCAGTAGCCTCGAATATTCCTCGCCACACAGCACCACAAGAGCCCCGAACCCTAAGCATGAAAATGCCTGAAGACTCAACACCAAAACCCTCAAACCTAAACCCTAAGCACTAAACCCCAAGCCCTCAAACCTGCCCCGGCAACTCCAACCCTTTAATCCCAAACGGCCCCATAAGCTGACGCAACAATAATCAGCAACTGAAGAACAACCAGACAGCCGGCAAACATCACGTACAAGGCTACATCACTAGTTCCCAAACCGCTGTCAATCCTCTCTCTGACTTCTACAACCGTTATAACTAAACCCTACTAAACCTAAACTTCTTCTGCCACCTGCTGAGCCCGACATATTCGAGGAGCCTAAGCTCTATGCCGCAAGTGTTCAAGCCCGAACTTGCCTCCTCGCACTCATAAACCTCTAAGTCCTAAGCCACTTTCGATGGACGAAATGCAAGATCTTGAGCATCAAGTGTAATAATCAAGATCGACAAGTTGCAAAGAAACTTTGGACCCTAGTCGCCATAGCCTCAAACCCGAAACCCCAAACCCGACACCCCGAACCCTAGACCCCAAACCCTAAACCCAAAACCTTAATAAGTTCCAAGGAACTCCCATGGGAATCTCGGAGACGAGACGGCCCGCTACGTCCTTCACCGGCTCTTCGTGCAGCGCCACGCAATGTACATCAAGGCCAAATTGCAAGGTGTTATTTTATAGTAAGCCACAAAAAAGATGGAAACCGGATTAAGGACAATTAGTGCTGGGATTCCCTATGCATGACTCTTAAGGATTGAGGCTATTCGGTTTCCACCCGTTGGGCTTTTACTGCAGGTTTTAGGCCGTGGGCTCGAGCAACTTATAACAATCTTATTTGCTTCTAATACTACTATGCGTGAACGCAAGTACCTAAATGGGGGATCCTTTGGACCCTTACAGGGTAGGGTAGGGTTGATTTGGAACGGGCTGCCAGGCTTATCGGCAGAAAGGGTGTAACTGCCGGCCCGCAGTCCTGGCAGCCCTAAGCGTGCAAGTGCCGAAATAGTAGGGTTTCAGGTAGCCAAGGCCATTCAGAGAATAGTACATGGGACCGAAAATGTACTAAGTGGATACTTGGACCCTTAGGGCAGGTGATGCTGTTGTCAGGGGAACTTCACCGAGTATTTCGTAGGGTTTGTGGTTACGGGTGCAGATGAGGCTTGTGGGCTTAGGGGCGGTTTTGGGTTGAGTCTTTAATTTAGGAAGGGTACACCAGGCAGGCTGGGCCGGAGGGGTCTAGGGGCCTAAGAGGCAAGGATGGAGATTGCAGTCAGTGATGTTTTACCGTTTGTCTCGGGTCGGGTTCATGGCTGAAGGTTCGGATTTGGGCTTTAAGGTGGAGGATTTGGGATACCTCAGGCTCTTTTGGGACAGGTGCTTTCAACAGCTAATGTAGGGGCCTAAAAAATTTCGATTATTATGCTGGGAGTCCTTTATTATAATAATAGTATCATGGGCCCCAAAGCCCTGTTCGAATCATTAAGGTCCCTATAATATCACATCATTCCACCCCACGCTGTCTTAGGTGGCCAACCCAAACTGAGTAGGCTCTGGAGCTTCTGCCAAACCCTAAACCCTGCAAACCCTACGGTTTAGGGTTTAGGGTTTAGGGTTTAAACCCTAAATCGTGGATCTGAAGATTGTTTGAGCACGATTCTCTTGATGAGGGAACGACCAGCAACCACCTGCGTCAGGGTTATAAGAGGGCATAAGGACCCGATTTTCAGGAAATAATACACATACTGTCACATACAACATGTAGTTATATAATTTAGTTATATAGTGTGTATATATATACATATATACAAACGTATATATATATATATACACACATACATATATATATATATTTATATTTATTTTTTCTTATTTATTCATTTATTTCTTTTTATGCATATATATATATATGTGTGTGTGGTTGTGTATGTGTGTGTGTATGCTCATATATGTTGTAGTCACGAATTCTGTATATCCTCGCGCAAACCGACACAGACCGCGAGCCTGTCAAGCCCTCTGCGCAGTCGCTGAATCCTGTGGATGTTCATTCAGATTCATTCCGTTTGTAGTTTAATCAGGCTTTAGGGGTTCAGGGCTTAGGGTTTCATTCGGTTGTTATTCTTCCTCCCCGGGTCGTACCAGAAGCTATAAGCGTCCACTGCCAGACTTCTAAGCCCAAAGCAACGAAAAGCACTGCGGCCCCGACCTGCCCTAAACCCTAAATCGTAAACTCTTCATCCTAAAGCCTAAATCGTCAACCCTAAGCCCTAAATCCTAAACCCCAAATCCTAACTTGCAGAATCAGGGGCTGGAGGCAGCCGGGATGACTTGGCAAAATCTGTCCACCACGCAGGCGTGTTTGAGCTTTAGTGAAACTTTAGTGGTTTACCTTGAGGGTCATATCTGCCCCTTCTTTGGGGTACCCTAGTTCTATCGTTACCCCAAGGGTCCAGGTGCCCAAATAGTATCTCCTTTGACCCCAAAGCACCTAACTATAGGGACTATAGTGACTACTTTAAGACCAAAGTATACTTTCTATGGGTACACGGACCCTTCAGGTTAGGACCTGTTCTGCACAAAGCTAGGTACCCTAAAAAGCGCCCAAAGAGGGTATAAGCCTCCAGCTAAGCAGGAATCCCATGCATTACGGTCTAGGGTTTAGGGTTTAGGGCTCAGGGCCCCCACTGGCAGATGAAAGTGCTACGAATGCCCAAGTCCAGCGATGCGTTTGTCAACCTTATATAAAAAGGAAGCTTGAGTTACTCAATGTCAGATAGCCTGCAGTCCTGAAGGGGTTCAGATTGCCGAAGTCCGATTGATCCAATCTTGCCAATCGGAAGCGGCGCAGCTGTCTAGCAAACTTCTGTCTCACAGCCAAGATTTGCGGTCAGCCATGCTTGAGGTTATAAACCTGAAACACAAGTGCTAAGCACCACACATAGACCAAGTGGTGCTTTCAGCCAGCATCAGAATCCGCACCCACTAGTGACTAGACCTTCAATCATTACCCCCTAAAACCCTAAACCCTAAACCCTAAAACCCTAAAGCCCTAAAACCCAAAAGCCCCTAAGCCCCTAAAGCCCTAAACCCCTAGGTACTGGAGGAGCATATCCCCGCCTTCGTTCTCTCCCTCTTCGAGGAGCGGCTGAAAGGCTGGCTACCCCTAGGCCCCCCTAAGTAGTTCCTTTTTATGGCTCATATTTAGCAAGCTATAATTAAGGTGATCCCAAAAAGGAACTATTTAGGGGCCTATGGCTACTGTAGAAGCTAGGGAGCTTCAGAGACTTGGGGGAATTCTGTGGAGTGTCGGGCTAAGGGTGCGGAGGCAGGATATACTATATAGTATACTATATTATACTATATTATGCTATATTATACTATATTATATTATAGATGTATGAGGGTGCTCGGGCCTGGGAGTCGACCCTGGGTTTGGTGCATGGGCTTCCACGGCAATGGATGATACTGGCCCGCAAGGGCGCCTTCATCTACTTTTGCCCTAGGCTGAGATCAATCAGGATAGACCGTGTTTCGACAAGTTCAATTGCGACTCAGGAGGGATGAGGGGTCTTGCTAAAGTCCCTATATAGCTTTTGGCTGAAAGGGGGGTCTGGATTCCTTCACCACCTGTGATTGGGGACATAGAAGATCCCGAGACTTTCGATGTGGATCCGAAGCTCTGTCATCAGGGGAGTCTGTCTTGAAGGCTGTTCACGTAAAGAACTCGCGCTGGGAAGCCTGCTCGGTACATCCCGAGCTGAGGCCCCGAACCCAGTATACCTGTAGCCTCCATTGTAGTTCCTTTTTTGGGGTTAAGCCAACATTCTATTTAGGATCCTATTCGGGAACCCCAAAAAGGAACTACAATGGAGACTATAGGCAGCCCATAAACAAGACATGGTGAGCCGAAGAGCCTTTCCGGGGCTCCTGTTCCTGTCCTCAATCGTGTTGGCCCTCTTGTTGCTGTGATAGGACCTGCAGGCGAAATGTGTATTAATTGTTTCTGATAGCGGTACAAGGACAAAGCCCGTGACCCTTCTTTGCAAGGACTTGTGTAAGGAGATCACAATAAGGCATCGGGCGCTAAGACTAAATGCTCGACCCCAAACGCTAAATCCCAATAGCCCAGCCTACGCTTACGCCTAAGCCTAAACCCTAAACCTGAAACCTGTTTAAACAAGCCCCCAAAGGAACCCCTTAAAAGAGGTGAAACCGATGAGCACCCTGTGTCTAACCGGGCATGACGCATGCAGGGGTGGGCCTTGGTCTGCATGAGCTCAGCATCCTTGCGGCAACCTTGGAACACCTCATCCATGACGAGGTGGGTGTGGGGTTTAGGGGTTTGGGGCTTAGGGTTTAGGGTTTAGGGTGAAGGGAGCTAATCCCCTTTGTTTAAAGGGTTTATAACGTTTTTTGTTGTTGAAACGCACAACTTCTGTTCAGAATTGAGGATTTGGGGATTAGTTGTGTAGGTGTTAGGGTGCGTTGGTTCAGGATTTCGCGTTTTAGGATTCGGCTTTGGATTCTGAGTAGCAGAACTCCTTCTGCACCAAAATCCATGGTCCAATGATTTCATGCCTCCATATTGCACATTCTTAATAACATGCCTAGATTCCCCAGTAGTACACTTTTTGCCCTTTTTATTTTTGGGTCCGCCGTGCTAAGGGGCTACTGGGGAACCTTGACGCCTTATTGCAACGCTTGACTTTCGGGTCGCCGGGTCTGGGGTGATCCTGAAGTCATAGCAAGGCTTTGAGCGAACCCCCTTTTTTTACAGGGATCTGAAGACTCCTTGATAATCTCAACTTCTGGTCCCTGTCCAAATGTCCTGCAATATACACCACGGAATAATATGTCCTAAGCACAAATCCTAAACTCTATCGTTTAGATGCATCATTCTCTCTCAGCGCTGATCCCGAACTAGGCTAGATTTGCGGCATGTCTTAAACCCTAAACCCCAAACGATACAGGAGACCCCGGGCTGCATAGTAGAATGGCTGGTGGAGGCGGATTTTCATGGCTTTAGCGTTGGATTCAGGCTTCTGGGGTTCTTTATGTAGTGTTTTGGGGTTTAGGGCCTAGCTCAAGTGTAACTTTTGTTATTCGTACCATTATTGCTATCGCTGTTTTGTTTGGAAACACCACCACTACTACTACTACTACTACTACTGCTACTACTACTCCTACTGCTACTACTGCTACTACTACTACTACTACTACTACTCCTGCTGCTGCTGCTGCTGCTCCTACTACTACTACTACTACTACTACTACTAGCAGTAGTAGTAGCCATTCGGGGGCGTGGTGTGGTTGCCAATGCACCTGCAGGCAGTGTCGCGACTCTCCGTGGTCTACCAGGAGCCGTAGGGCTTGGGGTTTAGAGCCTTCCGGCTTTCCTAGGTTTTCAGGCGGATTTCGTATCCCTAACCCTAAGGCCCAAAACAGCCCAACAGCCTTTCATAGTAGGGTCTTTGGGCCCAAAAGCCTTGAAAGATGAGTCCTTAGAGCCTTAGGGTAAGCATGTCGACGCCGGCTTGGAATCTGAGTTCACGGGAGCTTCGATTTCGAGGAACAGCTGCGTGCAGGATCCGTCAGCTGAAGCCGTAACATAGGAGCCTAAATAATTACCAGTACTGTTTTGGTGGTTCCTTATCATCATGAGAGTATAAGAAAGCCCAAAACCCTATTCTAATTATTAAGGCCCTGACATTGAATCCCCGACTCGTCACTTCACGTCTATGCATATGTATCGGTAGATTTAGATCGACACCCTAAATCCTGCACCTTGCAAGAACTTATGCAAACCTTCAGAGCCTGAGAAAGTATTGCTGACGGGCAAAAGCCTGCTTTGCAGCACCCCATAAATCCTAGGGTTTGGTCTATCCGACGTGGGGTTCTAAGATTGACATCCCGTATCGGCGTTTACGCCACAAACATAGCCATCCTTCTGCTTATGTGGTTTCAGGACTTTATGTGAAAGACTTTTCCGGGCTGCTGAAACAGCTTGGCCCCAAACCCTAAACCCTAAAACCTAGTAACCATAAAGCCATAAACCCTAAACCCGAACACCTTACACCAACACTGGGAGGCGCACAACTACACAGAAGAGTCCCGGGTGGACGAGTTCGAACTCCAGAATCTCATCGACACGCACCCTCGCTGAGTCGAAACTACCAGGGTTTCGGGGTTAGGGTCTATAGGGTTCAAGGTAGAGTTTCGGGTTTAGGGTCTCTATGGCTTAATTAGGGTCTATAGGGTTCAATTAGGGTTTCGGGTTTAGGGTCTATAGGGTTTAATTAGGATGTAGGGTTCAATTAGGGTTTAGGGTCTATAGGCTTTATTTAGGGTTTAGGGTCTATGGTTTAGGGTTTAGGTTTTAGCATGGGTGCCAAACCTACCCCGAGGGTTCAGGGGACGCAAGAATGATGGGTACTTGGACTTAGGGTAGGAGTCGTAGTTTGGGTTAGTGAATCAAGTTTGAGGCTGTGATGATTTGTCAGGCACTCCGATCCTCAGGGAAACGAAAACGGTACTCTCGTTTGCTTCGGAGTCATACCGATGATGGTTCCTTTAAAGTATCTCTTGTCAGAATTCTGATACGGATCCTCCGAGCCTCAAGCGAAGCCTGACTGCGGAACATCCACCCGATAAGCCTTAAACCTGAACCCGCGGACCATAGACCGGTGATCTTACGCCTCAGCTTCACCAAAGGTTTGATTTAACTTCCCTCTTCCCCAAACCCGTTCAGTGACCTTTCAGGGTCCAGGGTGCAGTGCTTCCTTTTCTTATGACGTCCCGGACCCTAGATCCTGAACGGCAGCACTTTGCAAGACAGCCCAACCCTAGACCCTGAACCCGAAACCCTAAACCGAAGGTACATGTCCATCTTCCTCTTGGGCACGCAGGACATCAGCGCGAGCTCTGTAGCCGCCGAGTGCCAGACAGTTCTCGAGTCTTTCCCAGGCCTGGAGGGAAAAAGGGCTTCGGGCCTGGAGGCCGCCTTATCTTGGGACTGTCCAGGCTTAAAGCCCTACATCCCAAGTGTGCATAGGTCTATATCTAATGACGGCTTTGTAGGCGGATGGTTTGGTGGCGCTGGTTAAAGCAAGAAGGGGCTAAAGACAGATTTGAAGTTGTAAGGGCGGCAAGGCTGTTCGGGTTACTGTACGGACAGATTGCATTGGACGCGTCTTGACAGGCAGAGGGCATGCACACCCTGCGCTCCGTGCCTATGGTGGGCAGTAGGGATCCTAAACCCTACACTGAGCCACAGAACAGTAGGAACATGGGTTTTCGATGATTAGTGCTGGATCCCCCATACGTTACTTAAGGGCATGAGGATAATGGACTGGATAATGGTTTCGGCATTCCTTGCTGTCTGCATGTTGCTTTGTCTTGAGTTATTCGGATTGAAGCTATACTATACAGGCTATCATCATGAAGGCCAGTTTAAGGTCGAGGTTAAAAGCTCAGGGTTGAGGGCTTACGGTTGTCATCGTGACGGCCTGTTTTCCACGGGTCTGGCACGAATAAGGCTGAGTGAACTTGTCGGAGTGGGGGGGACAATTTGATTCTTGTAGCTTCTGGGCAAGATACAATAAGTTACTATACTATACTATACTATACTATACTATACTATAATATACTTGGAGGTGTTGTCCGGAGAACATCAAGCGGCCCACGTGGCTAAGAACCCCAAAGGCACAGCCCTAAACCCTGGCCCCTAAGCCCTAAACCCTAAGCCCTGAGCCCTAAACCCTAAACCCTAGCCCCTAAGCCGTTTGAGTGCCACGACCGTACAGGGTTTGTCGATGGGCGAAAGGGTCGAAAGGGCCCAGATGCCTACCCAACAGGGTTGGAGACACGCGTCATGCAGTCACCAAAAGGCCTTTAAAAAACACAAAGCCAGCCAACTCGGGAATCCCGAGCCAGGATGGAAGGACACTCAGAAGTTCACGGTTCAGGTTCGCACAGGCGCCTGAAGCAGTGCATATCAAAAACCACAGTGCAGGGTTTAGGGGCTTTGGGGTTTAGGGTGTAGGGTTTAGGGTGTAGGGTTTAGGGTTTAGGATTTAGGGCATGTGAAGACCACAGTGTGTGCTTGCAAAGAAGGTTTCCAAACTGCGCATCGGCCGATCGGCTGGTCGGGTGGTCGGGTGGTCGGGTTTAGGGTTTAGAAGTTTAGGGGTTTAGAAGTTTAGAAATGAGTGTTTCAGGTTCAGGGTTACGAGATACAAATAAATGGGCCTACTCGTAATCTGTCCAGCGAGATTGGTGTTCCATGCTGCATCAGACTCCTTTAGGCTCATGAGCACAGAACTGTTGTGTATATCCCTCAGGCTCAACACAGCCCGAAAGCCTTTCATAGTAGGGTCTTTGGGCCCAAAAGCCTTAAAATATGAGTCCTTAGAGCCTTAGGGTATGAGTCTCCAGCCCATCGAGGCCTGAGGTGCCTAATCTTTTCCAGAGGCACGACAGTAGCCTTGCAACCATCGAGGGAGTCCTTGCTGTACCTCAGGACTGCAGGACTGTCAGGCATTCCATGAACGTTTAACTTACTGCTACGAGTTTCGGGTTGATGCCGGAGCATCGATTGATGAGTTTCTTGAAGGCTAAGACTTGGCCAGCTCTGATTCCCATCTCATTAGGGTTTAGACTTTAGGGTTTAACCCTAAACCCCAAACCCCAAACCCAACCCCAAACCCTAAACCCACATACCCTGACCTGATAACAACCTTAAGCCGGGAGTTACTGGCTGCCTTGAGCTCGACCCAAGACCCGTGCAGCTGGCCCCCCCCTCCTCCCGCCGAGCATGTCAGAATCCTACATTGACAGGGGTTTAGGGTTTAGGGGTTAAGGGGGTTTAGGCTTTAGGGCTTGGGGTTTCGGGTTTAGGGTTTGGGGGTAATGATTGACAAATATTTGCAAGGTCGGTCCTACTTAGTATGAGCATCTACGAGCCCGAAGTACAGCATCTATAAACCTTAGGCCCTACATTACACCCGAAACCCTACACACCTGCCGGAGTTTAGGGGTCTGGATACCGCCACCCCTAAACCCCAAAGCAGCGGAGGTCTCACCAGCAGCCGCAACGATGCGGATTTCGTTCAGGGTAACTTCAGCTTCCGTGCTGCGACCCAGATCGTGGAGGAGACCGTCGATCTGTGAGGGACGTAGAGTTTGTGACAATTTCGGGTTTAGGGTTTCGGCTCAGGGATTACTGTTGCGGATCTTGGACAGTGTGCTGGTTGGCAACGATAGCCTCCCGGGTGTGATCCTTAGCTTTGGCTTATCTCGGCTGGCACGGCTTAGGGTAAGTCTTAATGCTTTCGGGGTTTAGGCCCTATAGCCCTAAACCCTGCATTCTTGATGCCCCCCTAAACCCTAAACCCGACTAAACCCTAAACCCCTCTCAGTTGAGGTGTTCGCTACGGTCACTGCTTCTGGGGTTCCGAGGGTCTCTTGGCAGTCGACAGGTGTGAGTCTCTCGATTTTCAAGCACCGATGCAGCGTGGAATGCGACAGCCTTAAATCAAAGCCGAAACGCTGAACCTTAAACTCTACAAAAACTCTAAACCCTACACTCCCATAAAAGCCTCACAAGACCTCATAAGACCTTGTAAACACTCTCATAACACCGAGAAGGCGCTGCAAAATTCAGATGCGTGGCAAGGCCAAGAGTCAAACTGTGGCTCAGGAGATCGGAGAACGCTATGGGCGTTGGCAGGCACGACAACTTCTTAGGTGTTCTGGTTCGGGTTAGTGCTCAGGATCTCTACGTAGCTAGTTTCTGAGGATTCGTTTGAATTTCTCTTCGAGACGGTCTACCTTTTTATAGACTCTAAATGCGACTCAAGCCTAGCCTGCTTCTGTTGGCCGAAGCATAACAGCAGTAGGAAGCATTCCTGTTTTCTTTGCGTATGTTGTTCAACGCAATTGCTGTGCTACTAAACATATTGTCCTCAAGAGACTGGGGCCAGTTTTGGGAGTTTCCCCCAAGATGGACCCGAAAGTGTAGGTAGGCTACGTGTGGCAAGGACCCTCAGAAACGGGAACCCCCCCGCAATTGCAATAACTCGCACTCAAGACTCAAGAAAAGCCCTGTCAATCTATCCGTTAACAGCTTACCCTATAATATAAAGACCGACAAATAGCACTCAGGAACAGCTAGCCCGGTCCAAGCACCTAAAGGAACATTCTCCCCAAACCCCTAACCTACTATCCGAGTTACTGTCCCAACCCAGACGCAAGCCCTGCCCCCCAAATCCTACATCCTAAAACCTGAACCCCCAAACCCCCAAATCCTAAACTCTAAACCACCTTTTTGCTTTGGAGGATGCCGAGTGCCGGGACCTCAAAAGCCTTTTGCGTCTCGGTGGAAGGGCAGCGAGAAACGGGTTTTGGGGTTTGGGGCTTTGGGGCTCTACCTTCATCCTTTAGGGTTCCTTATAATGACTTCTTTAAATAAGTCCTTAGACAGGTAGGTTCTTTGGGGTCCGGGTAGGGTTTGAGGGCTTTTGTTGTTTTTGTTGCTTGCGCCTCAGGTCTTAGGGGTTTTAGTCGTCGGTTTTTGGTTTTGAAATGTTCGGCTTTTTGTTTCGGCTTCTTGGGCGGCCAAAGCCTCATCGGTGCGCAGATTCGGTGCAGAGAGTGTCGCTGCGTAGACTTAGCCCTCTCTGCGGCTGAAGTTTCAGGGCTTCTTTTCAGGCTTCGGGGAGCCGCTAAACCCAAGACATGCAACCCATAAATGCAAAAGCACTATAAAGCAAGCCCCAACCCCTACAACATACATCCAAAACCGCCACAAACCTAGGTATTGAGGCTTCAGTTATCCGACCTATACCCCCCCGAAATCCGAAGCCATAGAATCCTGAAGACTTCCAGATTCTTCCTTCGGATTGCTGTAACATGCTAAAATATACCCCAAAGAGCTGTTCCACTAAACTATACCCCGAAAACCCCGAGACTCTAAACCCCTAAACTTCCCTAAACCCAGGACCCCAGAACCCTAAACCACTTCGCCCTGACCCAAAAACCGTAAATCCTAACAATCCTAAGCCCTAGCCTAAACCCTAAATCCTAAACCCCGAGGATGAAGATTGAGCACGCGGACACCGGCCGTGTGCTGCTCAAGGATTTCTATGGCTCCGCCTTGGACGGGAATTGGCAGTGGCTCGGCAGGGCTTTGGGTTGAGGGTTTGAGGGTTCAGGGGTTTAGGGGTTTAGGGTTTAATTATAGGGATCATAGCAAGTGCGAACGGACATCGATGTCTCAATCAATTAATTCGTTGGTGTCACGATAAGAGCTATGAGAGTGAACCATGATCAAGGTACCAGAGGCCTGCATAGCAGACTGTGCGTTACCGCCAATCCATTTACACCCCTGCCTTGCAGAGTGTATATGCTTTCAAGCGCCCCGCCTCACACACAACTTTGTGGCTCAAGAAAATGCCATAAGTTTAAAAGCTTACGACTCAGTTGTAGGCGTCTGATCCAAGAGACCGAGCCATTCCCGCTGCACAGATCTACGACTGAGCGCTATCCGTGAAAAGAGAGTTCCAGTGAGAGTGCCTGCAAGGGGGTAGGTGGGGAGTGCAGTGATCAACTACTACCTCAACACTTGGCAGCCACAAATCGTATCTATCAGCTCGGTGAGGTGAGCAACCAAGACAATATCGACAACAAACCCTCACGCAGGTGATCAACCCTTTGGGTACATGGACCCATAGGGTAGCGGTCACGGCTAGTCTGCGTCTTGTAGGTTTGGAAATTAGGGTTGGGGGTTTCTTGACTAGGCTTGTTTGTGCCCTTCAAGGCTCGGTAGGGGTTCTACGGCTACTCTGTCAACACATAGGGTTCGAGGGTTTCCCTCAATGCCCAAGCACCCCCAAACCCTAAGCCCCAAAAGCCCAGTGATTCTCCCCCTCGGAACCCTAAACCCTAAACCCTGAAACTGCATAATCCCCCAAAGCCGAAAAGCCCCTACCATAAATCCTGATACCCTAAACCCCCGAAGCCCAAAACCCCCAAAGCCCTAAACCCTGAAACCCAAGTGCCCCCAAAAAACCAAAGCCCCCCAAAGCCCAAAGGTTCTCCGAAAGCGTGGACTATCTTCGCGAGCTCGGTGCTCTGGATGAGTCGGACCCGGCCAACAAGGCGCTGGCGCTGTAAGGGCCACGTTTTAGGGGTTTAGGGTTCAGGGATTAGGGTGGGGTGTGGAGATTTAAGGTTTACTTCAAGCCAAAATAATCCACCCTTCAATGGTAGGTTTTATGTTGCAGGTTTTGACTAGCTCTTTTTTGTAATTAGGGTTTTCATGTAGACCCGAGTAGAGAAATTCGAACGAACACCGATAAGAGTAGGATATGGTAGTTCAAGGTAGAGCGTAGTCTTATCGTTTTCGCATGTCGGAGTCTCAGCCCTTACACCTTCCAGGTGTTGGGGGTGTGGGTCAGAGGGTTTCAGGATTCAGGGATTTTGCGGCTCTGGACCCTAAACCCTTGAGCCCTCAAGCCGTAAACCCTACAGTAATCCCTTAAGCCGAGTCCCAAAAGCCTTAAAGCCCGAAATCCAAAGCCCTCAACCCTAAGCCCTTGATACTTGACGGCTTTTGTGGCTTTTAAGCTTTGTTGCCAGGCCGTGCTGATTGCCAACTACGTGCCCTTCAGCCTGCATCTCAAGGGTTAGGCTTGTAGTAACTCGCAATGTTTTGGGAGACTCAGGGTTTAGGGCTTAGAAGGGTTTAGGGGTTCAGGGCCTCAGGGTCTCTAAATCTCACACCTTACAAGTAGCATTTTGCAGGCTTCAAGGTTGTGGGATGTTGTTGGGAGGCTCGCAACATTCATGGCTCCGTGTGTGAACCTAGGAGTCCTTTTGGAATTCGCCTTAGAGCTGAAGGTGTTTGGTTGCAAAACCCTAAACCCTGGGATTCACGATTCCGGTTTTTTGGGTTTTTTACGGGTTTGGGAGTTGGGGACATAAATCCTTGGGGATTTTAGGGTTTAGGGCTGTCGACGATCATGATCGGCCTTCGGGGTCACTCGTATGGGTCTCATGAGCCAGCACATCCCACAGAGCTTCAAGGAAGGACAAAATATTAGACCTGCAGTACACAGTCGAAACAGAATCAAACGCATGATCCCCCCCAATAAGCACTTACGGCTTCACAGGTATGGATGTCAGTGCATTCATTGGGGGGCTTTGAGGTGTAATGACCATGGTGCAGCCTAACTGGGTTCCCCACTAGTATCGATTCGCCTTTTGTAGTAGTGGTCTCCTCACTAGAACCGATTATTAGGAAGTAGGGTGCCTGCACGAATAAGGGGCTACTGGGGACCCTAGTAAGCAGCTCCCCATGATTATCTGGGGCATCTCAACCCTAAACCCTACGAACCCTAAACCCTAAACCCTACAAACCCTACAAACCCTAAACCCTAAACCCTATACCCTATAAACCCTAAACCTTCAACTGCCAGGAACTCACACTCGAACTGCGTCGCCTCCTCTAGCATCTACTCGGTGTGCTGCGTGAACGAGTGTGAGGCGAGAGACCGGGACAAGGGATCAGTTTTGGTTTTGGGGGTCCGGAAAACCCTAAACCCTAAACTAGGCCTATACGCCCTCTACCCTAAGGCCCTAAGCCGTTGAGGGTTTCGGTTGGGCCTTGGAGTTGGCGGGACTTGGGGGTTCCATGGTATCTGGGCTGTAGAGCATTTCGGGCTTGCAGGTACTTCAGGGTTCAGGGGTTCAGGGGCTCAGGTTTTGGGGTTTAGGGTGCTCCTAAGGTCCGTATGAAGTTCAGTTATGCCCTCGACCCCAACAGATAGATAGATCGATGGATGGTTATAACATCCTGAAAACCGAAGCCTTAAAGCTTATACACTTCTACCTTGAAACCCCAAATATCCTGGGCCCTCCACCATCCCCCTACTTCAAGGCCCAGGGGACTTCGTAAGTAAGGCTCTATTTGACATTTCAAGTTCCCTAAGTAAGCTTCTCTTCATCATAGCCTTACCGTAACTTATAGCCTTACCTACTAAGTTCCATGCGCCTTTACGTAAACCCTAAACCCATAATCCCAAAACCCTAAACCCTAAACCCTAAACCCAAACAACCCACAACCCAACACCCTAAACCCTAATCCCTAAACCCAAAACCCAAAACCCTAAACCCTAAACCCTAAATTTAAACCCTAAACCCTAAACCCTAAACACGTAAACCTTTAGGCGCTCCTGGGCCATCTGGAGCGCCAGGCGGAGCGACGAAACCTTGCGGTTACTTGAGCGTTTAGGGTTGAGAGATTTAGGGTTGAGGGATTTAGGGCTTTAGGGTTTGGGGTTGAGGGGTTTAGGGTTTAGGGGTTTAGGGTTCAGGGTTTAGGGGTTTTAGGGTTTAGGGGTTTTAGGGTTTAGGGTTGAGGGATTCAGGGCTTTAGGGGTTGGGGTTTGGGGTTTGGGGTTTAGGGGTTTTAGGGTTTAGGGTTGAGGGTTTAGGGGTTTAGGGTTTAGGGGTTTAGGGTTTAGGGTTTGGGGGTTTAGCATTTAGGGTTGAGGGGTTTAGGGTTTGGGGTTTTAGGGGTTTGGGGTTTAGGGTTTAGGGGTTCCGGGCTTAGGGCTTAGGATTTAGGGTTTAGGGTTGAGAGCTCAGGGTTTGGGGTTCAGGGGGTTAGGGCTTATGATTTAGGGTTGAGGGTTCAGGGTGTGGGGTTCAGGGCTTAGGGCCTAGGATTTAGGGTTGAGAGTTCAGGGTTTGGGGTTCAGGGCTTTTAGGGCCTAGGATTTAGGGTTGAGAGTTCAGGCTTTAGGGTTCAGGGTTTAGGCTTGAGCTGTTTGGCTTGTTGTCTGGATGACAACATTATTGCCTTATAGTCCCAACTGAAGTTTCACAAGAAGATTCCTTCATTACTCCCTAAAAATTAAATTATGAATGCTGCTGAGTTGATCAATGCTGATATGTAATATATATATATATATGTATCCTGCATTGCCCATAATACAAAGGAATATACCATGCTTCCCATAGGTTAGGGTCCTTAAGGTAATGCAGGATTTACTATCATCAGCAGTAGTAAAGATCCTCCCGACTTGGGGATGCTCGAGTCGGGATTTCAGGGTTTCCGGGCTTTACCGTACAGGAATTCGGATTCGGGGTTCCGGGTATTTCGGGTCGGCGAGCCGAGATGATTAGAGGGTTTGGGGGATTTCAGTCTCTTAGTCAGAGCTGTTTCATGTGCTAAGTTTGATGCCTGCAACCTTTGTTCCCCATAGTAGTCGATCCTCATCCCTACCTGGACCCCAAAAGTAGGTAGAATAATGGCCCAACACCTACAAAGGGCTATTATTCTACATACTTTTGAGGTCCAGGGAAGCCCTAAACCCTGAAACGCTTGGCCCTAAACGGTCGCTGCGCTCTTCCTCAGCCATCGTTTGGGAGGTCATGGAGCCCTTCAGCTCAGACCCCCCAAGCCCAAGAATCCCTGGAACTTCGACCCCTAATGGCCCAAGGCAGCCACAAAGCCTTGCATGGTGTGATTAGTCTTTAAGCCTGAAGCCTTACATGCGTCCTTGGAACCGCGGGGTAACAGATTTTAAAGTCCAGAGCCTCAAGCCCTAACCGAGGCTTCAAGTGTAAGACCAATAACTGCAAATAAGTTCATACCAAGTGTCAATCCCCTGCCATCTTTTACCTGGGGCCTGCCCTGAAAGGTGGCCGCCCCGGATGCCGATCCGGATCAACTGGTGAAGTTGGTGGAGCAGTTGCCCGGATTTGGCCCTCTAAGGTTTAGGGCACGTCGTTCAGTGGAAGCTGGATGTGCTCATGGCCTTTTTCTGAAGGGTCCATGTACCCAAACAGTATAAAAAGCTATGCCTGCGCCAAATATATAATATAGGCTATTTTTAATGACTTGCGGACCCTTCGAAGAAGATGGAAGTAACCCAAAGCCCTAAACCCTAAGCCCTGAATTCCTCAACCCCGGGTTGTGCAGGCTTCAGAAGGCTAGTTCTCCAATTTAGTGTCCTTCTTTTAGGGTCCTTTTTTCGAAGGGTGCCGTACTAGATTGGGGACTAATTTACAGAACTACCCATGTAACATTTTTTTGGGATTACCGGGTTGTGCAGGCTTCAGAAGTTTCGGAGCTTGGGCTCTTGCCTTGGTTCTGTCGATCGAATCGAGGCTCCAGCACGTGATATACCCTAAGGCTCCATGTAGTTCCTTTAAGGGTTCCTTTAAAGGTACCATAAGGGGACTATAAGGGTCCTAGAGGGTTTAGGGTTTCAGGCTTTATGTATCCATATAGTATGTGCTTAGGCATTGACGGGGTTTTTTAGGGTTCCTTGCTATAGTACTACTATACTACACAGGAGCCCAAAGCCCTGATCTAGTGATTAGGCAGTGATTAGGCGCCTACAGTTGATGATATAAACCCTGCAATATTCATAATAAGGAATATACCATAATTCCCACAGTCCTGGGTCCTTATAAGGTAAGGCAGGATTTATATCATCAACAGTACAGTATGACTTCGTGTGTCGGGGGATTAGCCGGTCGGAGACGAGGAATCAGAGCTCACGGCGTTATCGGTGGACCCTGCGACATACGGTTTACATCACGCAGAACGGGTTCTTGAATCTGTGTGACGAGTTGACCTAAGGCATTATAGGTAAAAGCGAAATAGTTGAGTAAATTGAAGAAGCAAAAACTCTCTCTCTCTCTCTACACACACACATACATATATATATATATACACATACAGTATACACCTGTATTTTCACACAGGAACCAGATGGGCTTGATTTCTTAATTATACATGCCCCTGAATATGAAGACTCACGCGTATGCATCTGCAGGCAGCATTTCAGCTTAAGCGAGAACGCGGACAGCCTCAGACACGCTTCAGATGTAAAGAGCCCTTCACAAGGCACCCTCCAAGACGAAATCTTGTTTTTAATCATACTAGCCCTAAGCCAGACCTTTGAAGCTTACCCCTTAACCACAACCTAAACCCTAAACCCCTAACCCTGAACCTGTGTAGCACAGGCAATTCAGGGCTAGTACGTCGCAAGACATTCAGTTGGAGGCAGAGATGTTTAGGGCTCAGGGCTGGGGTTCGCATCTTCAGAGCCAGGTTTTGGAGGTGTTTCTTATATCTAACCCGAACCCCCAAGGTACCTACTATATAGGGTACTAGAGCCCCTAGGGCCCTTTCTGGTTGGTACCTGGAGGGTTAGGGTAAAGCTCGCCTTGTGCTAGGATCTCTGGCCTAGGGCTCAAATCCATACAGGGATGCCTGGCC